TGTATTTCAAATAAATGTGGATATATTAATGGACATCTGGAAATTAGTTCGACTTAAGACGTTTCGTTTAGGTTGTTTGTAACTGTGACATTTGCACTATAAAATAAGGCTATTGGACGCTCTTGGATACTTTAAAGGACATCCAATGGATTTTCTTAAAAACCTTTGAAAAACGTCTTTTTTAGCTTTTAATGAAACGTCCATATGACGTTTGAAGTTGGGTCTTGTGTCATTTGCACTAAACTAAAACGTCCTATGGACGTTCAGTTACTTTAACAGCAACAATGAACAATGTGTTGATTGTTGCCAAGAGTTTGCTTGGATTACTTTTACTCTGTTTTGTATGTTATAGCGATTTCCATTTGTAGAATCAGTGCAAAAAAATGTATCGTTATTCATATTTCACATGCTTTTAGAAAAAGATGCGGATACACTCAGTGCGCACTTATTGACAAATGGAAATCGCCATTACTTTTCTCATAGTTTTTTTATGGTTCCCTAACACATGACAAAGGTTGTGGTTTTATGGTTTTATTGCTATTATGCCATAACTTACTATTTCGTGTTATCATTTTTCTCTAGAATCAAAGATAATCTCTCACATTTTTCCTAAGCGGGTCACAAGATGGGGATGGGGCGGCAAATTTACTCATTGCCCAGGGCGGCAAAATACCTAGAGCCGGCCCTGTGAAAGAGCTAATGAATTTTTGGAATACCTGAAAAATCAGAAATCTGTGATGTGACATTGATATATGTGCAGTGTGTGGGTATACTATCAAGTTCAAGTGTGGCTTGGTTATCAACTAAATCCAAAAGACTGTTGTTGGAAGTTGATCGACAGATGACAATACATTGGAACCATTCCAAACTTTATTCTCATCTGCGCCGGATAAACTGCTCAACACAATTTTTTCCAATTGTAAAAGGGGATATAGTGCTAATGCGGCTGCAAAAAAGTTGAATTATTTTGTTCTCTTGCATGTACTAGTTGTCAAGGCCAGTCATGCTCCAATGTTGAATCACCAACAGAAGAGGATTCGTATGATACCAACGGGGAGACATGTGATGTATCGCTATTGAGGCAATTTACTTGTACCCAGCAAGAAGAAAAATAACAAGATGAAAAGGAAGCAGAAGTATTAGACGATTATGAATCTGACAAATAATTTTCCCCAATTTTTTAAAATGTATACCGCTCTCATCACTCCCAATACTATTATTTTTTATTGTTCAATAGTTTTAAATTGAACAGGATCATAATAGACCGCGGAATAGGCCTACCGGATAACCACGTCATAGTTATTAACGTATAGGGCCCGTGAATTGCCAAATACCGGTCAGGCTGAGGTTTGTGATCCTAGGCGACAGCTGAGGATTATAATCAGCCAAGGCTCTTATTTGCAGTTATCGGCCGTGTTTCATTCTAAATTTTTCGTCATACTGCAGACTCTCCTATAGGGGTACGTTTGAAAAAAACGGCCGGTGGCCGTTATTTATATTAGAAAGTTCTCGTGCGTCAGACGTTACGCTAATACGGTACCGCTAGCAATACGGTATTTCACATGGTATTTTATAGTTCTCGGGCACAAAGACACATAAATCCTCTAATCCCTTATTCTGTTTATATTTTGACAGCTTAGTTGAGTAATCTAACCCCACTTTTTTTCCTTGTTTTCTAACTTTTATTTATTCTGAAGATTCCTGAGCTTGATTAATTTTTCCTTGGTGTTTTCTATGGAAGAATTATTAGAAATTGTTGTTTTTGCAGACACAAATGGAGCGTAAACAAGATTTGACACAGCATAGCGTTACGGTAAAGCATCCGGTAAGTTCCGTTAGATAGCGGGCTCCGCTAACGCTAATACCGTAAGAACTGTCATACTTGTCAAATAGCGTTACGGTATTTGAAATTTGGACGGCACGAGAACTCTCTATTTTAACCGGCCGGCTGCCGTTAAATATACATTTTCAGTTTCAATTTCGCTCATATTAGTGAGATAACAGTACAGTATGACGGAAAAAAAAAGCGCGCCTCAGTACACTACTTTACACTTGGCGTGGAAACGTGTCACGTCATGAAAATTACAACTTTTTCAACTTTTAGAATCGTTATATCTCATAATCGGTGACTTTTAGGATAAAAAAGTATTGAGACATTTTTTATAGATAAATATGATCTACAATTTTTGTCTGACCTAATTTTATGAAATGATAAAACTTACCGTTTTGCTGAAAAATGCGAAAAACCCATTATTGAGACCATTGACCTTGAATAAAAAAATTTCCAGGTACGGGATCGATAGGGACTTTTTAGCATTAATTTATAATAGTGTTCCGAACATTCATACCAATCTTCAGCTCTATGGGAATTTTTGTACCCTTGCATGTTTAAATTGACCGGAGTATGAAGATTTGTATAATTTTGGCAAAAAACGAATTTCAGGGGTTTTAAAATTTATAGTTAGACGTATAGAAAGTTTAAAAGTGACCTATGAATGACATTGTTCTCTCGAGTAAATGATTTTCAGTTGAAGATTTTGGATAACATTCCAACTCAATCTAAAAAGAGTTTTAAGATTTATAAATTAGAAGCATTGGAAAGATTTAAAGATAGAAAGTATTTTTAAAAAGAATTTTTGTTAATTCAATATAATTAAAGTGCAAACCTCACTGCAGTTGTTCCTCTCATGATATACCCCCTCCAAAATTTCATTTGCAGCTATCAAAGGAAATAAACACCATCAATAAGACCGCTTGCCATTTACCATCTAAATAATTAATAGGGTACTTATGCAGACTGCTACACATTGTTCCACAGAAATATAATAAAATTTTTGAAGCATCTATTTCTCTCACTTTTGAGGTTAATAATAATGTCACAATAAGCTAAACGTCCGCCAGGCTGTCAAGAATCGATCGCGGAAATACTAGAATCTAGCGAATTATTCTACTTTAATCTGGAAAATTAGATTATCGTGTGTATTCTAGATTTCACAGGAATAGATTTAGGGATATATAAGAAGGCCGGCATTGGTTTGTAAGTAAGTTTCAGTTCGAGTGTGATACGATTTAAATAGTGATTGTAAAGAGTTTATTTGTTGAGTTTGTTAATAAAGTAATTAGTGTCAGAGGGTTTTGTTAAGTGGAATAAATTATTGCTGTGTTAATCGGACTTTGATTTTTCGAATAAACGAAACGAACATCGAACCCAAGATTTTTGTCAGCAGGCAACCCAAAGCCGCGACAATAATATACAGGGTGGGCCAGCGAAAACGAAACAAAGTCGATATCTCGTATTCATCGTTCATTGAAAAAAATCGCTCGGACCCGTCGATTTTTATTCGGAGGGGGAAATCTTTTGCACATATTTTCAATGTTGTCACTTCAACCCTCTCGCGGGGGTAAGCTCCAACCCTTAAATCTTAAATGGCAGTAGGGGTCAAGCGATACCTCATTTCAAAGGCTATCGAATTCTCTTTCCAACGGTGCCTATTTTTTTCAATTTACTGAGTTTTTTTTTTTTTCAAAAGATATTTGAAATTAGAATGTATTCAGTTGAATTTTATTGAGTGATGAAAAAAAAATAGACTTTAACCTTGTGATTTCAAGTTGGATAGCACACGACTTCAAAAAAAACACATAAAATCACTTCTTAAAAAAAAATTGTTATAACTACAAAATTGATAGTGCTCAAAATGACTAAAACAGTACTAGTTTCGTCTATTTTTGAATGCGTTTTCTCGAAAACCACTGCATCAAATTTAAAAAAAAAAAGACACCGTTGAAAAGAGAATTTGATGACCTTTAAAATGAGGTATCGCTCGACCCCTACTGCCATTTAAGATTTAAGGGTTGGAGCTTACCCCCGCGAGAGGGTTGAAGTGACAACATTGAAAATATGTGCAAAAGATTTCCCCCTCCGAATAAAAATCGACGGGTCCGAGCGATTTTTTTCAATAAACGATGAATACGAGATATCGACCTTGTTTCGTTTTCGCTGGCCCACCTTGTATATAAGGTACCTGTGCCAAATAAGGCCATGTTAAGAAGTTTAATTATTTCCTAACGTTATACACCAAACCCAACAAAAATCACAAGCTTATATGTGAGGTGTTTCGCTTCTATTACTTGAATATAACTCCATTTTTTTTTTATATAAGTGGTGGTTTTTGCGTAATAGAAAGACGCTTACGATTGGCCTTATTTGGATCACTATGCTCCTAATAAGGCCACCATTAAAAAATGTTTAAAATAAATACAATTATTTATAAAAATATTATTATTTGAGAAATAGTTTACAAAATAGAACTTATACGTTTGCTGCATTTCTAAAAAAACAATAATTCCAAGTCCTCTGGGATGGTGATCCGAATAGGTCTACATACAACTAGGACAAATGAACCGCAGCATTCTTGCTTGGAGAGACTCCAGGCATTTCGAAAAACATCACTTAGGTAATAATATGACATATTCTTTTAAAAAAAACATTGTGATGTGAGGCCGATTGAACATTTTTCGTATGATGGCCTTATTAGGAACATGTTAAATTGTTAAAAAAAAGTCTGTTACTAGAAATCTAGAAAAGATATTATTCTGTACTTACTCTGTAGCTCTCTCAATACATAAATGTCCGTTAAAAAATTACAATCGCTCCATTCGCTTTATAAAGATGTATATAAGAGTTCCAGCCTCAAAGTTATAACGTGACTAATGAAATGTGTAGTTGTCCTTTTCTCGATATATGACGACTTGCTAGGAGCCCTTGCAATAATTTTTGATCTACACAACAAATGGGATTCGATATTAAGCAATAAAGGGCACTGGCCTTATTAGGTACATGGCCTTATTTGGGTTGTGTACCTTTTTTTTTTTTTTTCATACGAGGTCAACATTCTAAGCTAAGGGATAGAAATAAGGGAGGAGGAGTTGGAAGTAGAAGCACATTTCAAGGAGATAATATGTTAAAATTACATATTAATGTAAATAAACTAAGTATTTTTTTCGTATACATTTAATAATACTGATATATTTACAAAACAAAATGTATACAGAATTTCTTGGATATCTACTACGTGGATAAAACTATATAAAATGATATTTTTATACAAACTTCATGCCAGTTTGTTGCAAAAATAATGTTAATCACAGTACCAATAATTTTTGGTAAATTTTGCATATGTTGGTTTACCACTGAAAAACCAAAATATTATTTTTTGTAGTGATTTTCTATCAATATCTTATATTCAAATTAATCATGTTGACAGAAAATCGGAGATTATTGCCTAGCAAATTTTTGTAGCAATAAAGTGCTTAAGATAACTAGTGACGTACGATAATGAGTTCTAAAACATTTTATAAAAATGTCTCTAAAATGAAATGATAAATAAAACATTGTTGGATTAAAAATCGTAAGAACCATTATTGTCTCCTTTGCGTGTCTTAAAAACAAATTTGTAGAGCAGGCCTGCTAGGATGCCGCCTATGATTGGACCAATCCAGTAAACCTAAAATATATAGGTTATTAACTTTCTTTCAGCTAGTCCTGCATTTAGCACAAAATAACTTACCCAGTGCCCTGCCCAAATATTCATGATTACTGCTGGACCCAATGAACGAGCTGGATTCACACTGGCACCGGTGAAGTGAATCTAAAAAAAAAAAATATTAAAGCAAGGCAAAAATTCACTTGAACCGTGAAAACAGGAACTCCTGATGCAATTACAGGCCTCACTTTCTAGAAAAATAGTTTCTAACGCTAAAATCCACGCTGAACGAACTGAGAACGTGATACATTTTTTATCGAAAATGTTCCCACCAATGACAATAATTGGAAAATCTGAAACTAGATGCATATTGTTAGAACTTACCCCACTGACGTGTACTGCAGCGACAGCAAGTCCAATAGCCAAGGGGGCGCTTCCCTTCAAATCTGATCTTCTGCTATCGCAAACTGCATGGATGACGAACAAGAGTACGAAAGTGTAAATAAGCTCGAACACCATTCCACATGGGAGTGAAATGGCAGATGAAACGCTTGTAATGCCTAGATTACCAACGTTGCGTTCTGGAAGTATCAGCTGTAATTAATAATAAACCAATTAACTTATAAGAAGAATCGTGCATATATACATTCACCTTATAATAAATAATTATTATTTATCGCATCGCATAGAGATTCCCTAATATGGCAATTAGTTACTGTTATTTTCATTAACGGTTTCACCAAAGTACAAATTATTATCTTTCGTCTCTGAGGAAAACCGAGCCCAACGGTTAAAAATAATGATCAATAAATTAAAAAAAGTAAATTTAGAATTAAAAAAATTTGCAGTGGGATGTGCCCTGAAGGAAATTCATAATAGACCATTAAAGTTCATATTCACACATTAAGGCATTGTAATTTATTTACGACGGTTTTTTTTTCTGCTGATTGTGTTTTTAATGCTTGGTAATCCTTCGTTTTATTCTAATAATGGTCGCCTCTCACTAGAATGGCATCAAGAAGAAGTCAGTCAAGTTGGTACACCTACTTTTAAATATTAAAGAGACCAAGCAACACGAATTAACTGAAAAAATGCATCAATTTTTTCAACAAATGCCTTCTTCATTATTTAGACAAAAGTGTTATAATACTTTATAATTACATTTCAGTTTTCGTTATTGTGATGAAATATTCTGGTTGTCGATAAAAAAACAGTTTTTTGTACGTTAATAGTTATCAATGATACTAGTTCGATATGAACACCATAATGAAACGCGTGTAAGGTTTAACCACGAGGCGTCAGCAAGTTTCATTAATAAAGTTAATCATATCGAACGTGTAGGTATCATCCAAAATTTAATCTACGATGGTAAATTTGATTTGCCTTTACATAGCAAAAACTTTTCAAATTAAAATTCAAAATTTAGCAGGTGTCCATATTAGTCGGCGAACGCGCTTGTTGATTTTTGGAATTTTGTTTGTTTTATGTTTTTTTTTTTTAGTTAAGTCCAACTTCACGGGGTCGTAGGCCGACTGTAACCGAACTGCAACCACCAATAAAAAGATGCAGCTCGGGTTCCCAGATACTGTATAACGAGCTGTATAATTTATTCGCCAGCACGTTTCACAGACAGGGATGTTTTGAAGAACAAGGGACAGCGGACCCTTTCTTGCTGGGCCCAGGTAGTTACGTTATGCGAAGCAGTTGGTCAACACGACAAAAACACGCTCTCGAGTATGTTCTTATTGTCTATTACTATAATAATAATTTTGTTAAATAACCTGTATCTCCTGTCCTGAATAATCTATCTTTAATTTACAGTTCAGGTGCGGGGTAAACTAATGGTAGCTTAGGCAGGGATTTGTTCATGTTAGGTGTACCTTCTTAAGACCACATACTTTGTGCCTGTGTAGTTTCCTGTACTGCGTCTTAATAATGGGTCGTAAAAGATATTCGCGTGGTAACTCAAGTTCAAGCGGAACCTCAAGTGATTCAGACTCGTTGAGGAAGATATAAAAAGAAATCAAGCCGCAAGCGTTGTTATGATAAACCCTTATACGGGGGTGAGTCAAAAAGGAACAAAGGTGATCCATCCAGAAAAGAAAAACAGTTATGTGCGCCTCAAAGTACGGATGTCGGCACTGTTGGTGATCGTGGAACTACTCCCACTCTAACAAACTAGGCTATTTTACAAGAAGTTGCGAGCAACAGAGGCAGTACTTCAACAGAATCGCCTTCTGCTGTAACTGTGACTTCTGTCGATGAGCGTGTTGAACGCCTTGAAAAACTATTAAAGCTTTTTGTTAAGCAGGGACCACAAACGGAATTTAGGCGTTTATTTGTCCGAAGTGAGTGCATTCCAGAATTTGATCCTGAGAATGACAACTTATCGGCCGTAGCTTGGTTAGACAAGATTGACCAAATTGAAAATATTAATAACTAGAATGATGTTACGACAATCTACCAGGTGCAATCACGATTTAGTGGTATGGCCCGAAATTGGTATAATGGATGACAACAATATACCAGAAAATGATGGGACGGACAAAAGAGAGAGGAGAAACCATGACCAACTATTTCTTCAGTAAGATGGAATTACTAAGGACGTGCCAAATAATTGGGAGAAATGCAGTTTCCTGCATCATTGATGGCCTCACCGATATTGGTGTCCAAAATGGTGCAAGAGTAGGCCGTTACGTCACGCCAGAAGCTTTGTATCAGAAAAATTTGTCGACGTTACGTGACGACAAATTGGGCAAATCTGAAACGAGTGCAACTCAAAGAAAAAAATCCACCAACAGAATGGAACGACGCACCAAAGTTAGAAAAGAGCCCTATAAGAAAAGCGATATTAAGAATGTTCAGTGTTTCAATTGCAAGACAAGGGGGCATAATCAATCCGATTGTCCAAAACAGAAGACGGTTTACCGAAAATGCAATTTCTTGGGTCACGAAGCCAACAATTGCAGAGTGTCAGGAAAATTTGAAAGCCGCTCAGAACAAATACCTGAAACCTCAAATTTGAATGAATCAAACACTTGTTATTTTATTGATTGCATGTTATGTTGATTCTGGCTGTGGAGCAGTAACTATTAAACAGTTAGATGTAAAGAAGGTGGGTTTACTTTGTGAACCAGCTTCAGCCTGGTTACGTGGTTTTGGTGGTGGTAGTGTGCGCGTAAGATTAAGTGACGACACAGTTAACGGTGGACCTAGCTTTCATTAAGGTAGAAGCGTTAGTAGTCTCTGATAATGTACAAAAAGTCTCTATAATCGTAGGACAACCATTTATTAACAACAAAAATGTTACGGTTGTCATTCATTTCATGATAATCAGGTTCGGTTGTTTAATAATAATTATTAATAATGAAACTATCTTTCCAAACATTTTACCGCCAAAAACAAAAAAAAAAACTCTATGCCGCCGAGACAACCGTTATACCTTCTCATCATAGGGCATATTCTAGTATTGAATGATGAAACTCGCGGTGATGTTTTTATTTATTTACAGTATAGGAATATGACTAACACAGAACCTATAGTGAAATAGAAAAAAGACAGAACACTGTTGGCATTTAACCGAAGCAGCTAATAAAATGGTTGGCACTCGTGGGTTATGTTGCCAAAATTAATAATTTGAAATTATTTCTATCTGTGATTTTTATCGCAATAAAATGCCAAAGCCATTGAATAGTCGCTGTCAGGAACTCGTTGCGTCTCTAATTAGTTACTTTGAACAGGAACAAAATAATGGGGGCCCCTTTTTGCCATTAAACAGCGTTAGAGAGATAAAGTATTGATACTATCAAATATAAATCCTAGTTATGATTTTTTTAATTTAATTGTTTTCTTTGTTGATTGTGCATCTTTTATAGGTATAGCGATATTGAGCTGATAAGAATAGATATTATTTATTGATCTCTGTCAAAGGTTGAGAAGCGAGAATATATAAGGCATTAGTGACTAGTGATTTTTTACAATTATTATTATTTTGTTCATTTATTTTGTTTACTTTAATAGATTTCTATTTTATGGCAAAATCAGCATACCACCTTGGTGAATATTTACAATATTTAATGTATATGGAAAGGGTTTTTTTGAGGGTTTTTACTGATTTTATTGATTTTTTACTGGTTTTTTACTGACATTTTGAAAATTCCTACCTAATTTGTGATTAGTTTCCTTAATTAACTTAGTAGTTGTCTATCAATGACCTGACGGTGCATTGAAGTAAATGGTCAACATTTTGAACAATTATTGTGAACCATTATTTATTTGTTAATAAATAAGCAAAATTAATAAGTAGACAGTGATTTAATTATTGCGAAGAATAAAAGTACCAAACAATTTTTTTGCTCTACAGCCCAAATGGCTCATTTGCGGAGATATGTTTATATCAACAAAAAGCTTGTTTTTTGTTTTGATGTCCCTTACTACCCTTTAAAGTTTGTCGGTATCTTTTTAGGACACCCTGTATATTTAAATAATATAATGTTTATCAAAAAAATGAACTCATCCATATTTTTTTTTCTTCATTATGTCCTAATAATTGCTCCAATGCAAATTTGAACATAGAAAAATTGTCCGTTTTTAGGGACCTAATGTGTTCTAGACCCCAATTTTGAAATAAAATAAACCTTATTCAATCTGATATTCTGTTGCAACTTTATCACACATTCGAATAATGTAACTCGTATTTGTTATTTTATTGGCTATATAAAATAAACTGGGGCTTAGTGATGACAAACTTTACTAGACATTGTATGTCAAAACGAAAGTTAATAGCGGCAACATTGCGACGTGCATACATTATTTAATTCATTTCATTTCCGCACTGTGTAACAAATTTAAATCAAAATTATTATATTCCGCAATATTCAATTCTTCAAATCAGAACTTTTGTTACGAAAAGTGTGGGGTAGTAGTGAGGGGCTACACTTGTTACGAAGAAATTGATACCTTTATTCCTACTGAAGTTACGAAATTCAGGAAATTAACGACTTAAGATATTCAAAACCAAATCAATCCCAAGCTCAATAGTACCGATTTTAAACAGTTATTAGATCTTCTTAATGAATACCGTGATTGTTTTACCACAAATGTAGACGGGTTGGAAAAACAGAATCCACAGAAATGGCAATATCGCTAGCTGATGACATTTCTATAAAAGTCCGTCAATTTTAATCTGATACTCCAAAAAAATGTGAGCTGGTGGCTCCCTACGTTAGAATGCCGATGGTCACCTGGTAGTCGATTCTCGAATTTGGTAGAAGTGAACGTTCCCCTAAGAGAAGTGAGATATCACATCGCACACTCGTTCTCTTGGTGCCAAAGTTGGTATTCTCGAAAGTATGGGAATATGATAGAATGAGAGAAAACTTGTCAAATCATAATGCGTTGTTGCCAACAGTAATATGTAGAATTAGCCACAATTTTAGTGCGTTAAAAGGACGAATGACATGAGAAAGAAGAAAATCAGTTTGTTTTATTTGTGTTTTGGGACGGAACCTCATTCTTTGCTTATTGATTTACTGAAAATCAAATCATTAATCAGGTCTATTCCAACACAGCAAGAAACCGTACAATGCACCGTC